CATCGCGCGCGCGGCGGCCCTCGGCCTGGGGGGGCCCCGGGGCGCCGCAGCCCGACAACGCCAGCTCCTCCGCCTCCAGCTCCAGGATGTGCTCGTCGGCGCGCGCCAGCTCGCGCCGCTGGATCAGGCTCAGGATCTCCAGCACTGCGGGGCGAGGCGGGGGTCAGCTCTGGACCCCGAGAGGGAGCAGGCGGGGGCGGGTCACGGGGTCGGAGCTGGGGTCAGGCCAGGGGACCCAGGGAGGGGTGAGAGCGGGCTGGAGGGGAGAGAGGGGTCGAGGTGGGGTCAGAGGAGCGGGAAGGGGTCGGGGTGCGGGGGTGGGGGAGGCAGGCGCTGGGGGAGGAACCTGTGAGTGAGGCGAGGCCAGGGACCAGCAGGCAGGGTGCCCGGCCCGGGGCTGGGGACCGAGGTTAGGGTTAAGGAGTCGGGGATGGAGAGGGTTCCAGCGAACAGGTCTGGGAGGGGCGAGGTCGAGGTTGGGGATGCGAGGGGTGCGGACGCGGAAGCAGGTGGGGCTCCAGGAGAGGGAGCGGGTGGCGAGGCTGAGGCCGAGGGGGTAGGTCGGAGCCAGGTGAGGGAGGGATGGACCCGCGGTGGGGGTGTTGGAGACCAGAGATGGGATCTCGGGGTGCGCGGCCGGCGGCAGCGGGGAGCTGGCACTCCGGGAGGTCAGGCTGACCCGGAAAAGGGGACTCTGGGGTTGGGAGGCCACAGCGAAGGCAGAAGAAGGGTCCCGCGGCCCAGAGTTACCCTTGACACCTCCCCCGCCGCTTCCTCCCTGGCAGAGAGACTGCTTCCTGGCCAGCGCTATTTCTGCCCATCCGTTTCCAGAAGGCGGGGGTTCCAGTCACCCCCTCCTCACCTCCCCGAAGTGCCCTCCCAGTCCCCCGGGAGCCCGGGCTGAAATAGCCTCTGGCCAGGATGTGAAGGGCATCAGAGGACAGAGGGGGTCCTGGAGGCGCCCGGGACGATGGCCGCAGGTGGGGGTTGGGCCGGGGCTGGGTGAGGGTGGGCTTTCGGAGAGGTGGACAGGGCCGGAGCGGCGGGGTGAGGTTGGCTGGGAATCCGAGGAGGGCAGGCAGGAAGGAATCGAGAACGACCTTGGGGTTGGGGTCTGGATGGCGGGTGGCCTGGGTGAGGAGTTTAGGTGGTGGTGGAAGATGGGAAGAAGGGAGGGACCGGCACGAGCTGGGAGATGCCCTCTGGGAGTCGGATGGGAAAGTGGATGCGGCTTCGGGATTTGGACTGGGGTGGAGGTGAGCGGACCGCAGAGGAGGGTCGCAAGGGAAGGGGCTCGGCTGAGAATGGGAGGGGGTCATGAGGTCAGAGGTAGGTGCTGAGTCGGCCTGGGGTTGAGGGGGAGGAGTTGAAGAGCAGAGGGGCGGGGCTGCCGGCCCATCCCGGCGCCAGGCACAGATGAGATAAAGATGGCGATGGAAGGGGAAGGCACGTGCGGGTGTCTCAGGATGGAGACCCATAACAGGGCTCGGGTAGCTGGCGTGGGGACAGACAGGGCGTTGCGGAGAACACTGACATGCGGGGTAAGAATGGCGTTAAGAATAATGATTGAGCCGGGCATGGTGGTGCCTGCCTGTAATTCCAGCACTTGGGAGGCTGAGGCAGGAGGATCTTTGTAAGTTTGAGACCAACCTGGGCTACAAAGCGAGCGCAAGGCCAGCCTGAACTGCACAGTGAGACCCTGTCTCAAAAAGAAAAAAAACAAGAATGGCGATGGGGGTGGGGCATGGTGGCGAACACCATTAATCCCAGCACTCAGCAGGCTGAGGCAGGAGGGTTGGGGAGAGTTCAGGGCCAGCCTGGGCTACATATCAAGACCTTGTTTCAAAAAACAAACATACAACAACAAAAACCTCAAAATAAAAAGAAAACACAGCCGGCAAGCTGCCAGGAACAGGAAAGGGGGAGGACAGATGCCTTCAGGTTGCTGGTGCCCTGGGACAATGCCTGCTGTTTTCAGCCACCCGTTTGTGGACCTTTGTCACAGCCGCCTAGGAAACCCACCCGGGTGCCAGGTTGGGGGTCTCTGGCGTACAGGTGAAGCTCAAGGTGGGGGCCGGGCATGGGGCTAGGTCTGGGGTGGACTGAAGGGTTGGGTGCAGAGTGGGGCGGGGAGGGGGTGGAGGTTGGGGCTGGGGTGCGTAGGGTGGGGTGCAAGGTTGAAAGTGGGTGCTGGAAATGGGGTCAGTTGCGTTTGACTTGGGGAGGAAGGGTGCGGCAGGTGGGGACGTGGAGGGGGTGGGACCTGGGCTGGGTGTCCGAATCCTAGGGTCAGGCTGGGGTTCACTTGGTGTTGGGTGCACACGTGAGGTGAAGGCAGAGGGTGGGGGCTGCATAGGAAGTGGAAGCCTGGAGCGGCCTGGGGTGGGGGGAGAGGCCAGCACTGTCGCCTCCGGGTCTGGGTCAGGACCCTCACTCACCTGACAGTGGCTCCTTCATCTTCGGGGGCTCTGGGACCTTGGGTGGGGGTTCAGGAGCCGCCTCACCCGCCGGCACCACCCTCTCTGCCAGGGATGCGCGCCGGGGCTTGGGCCCCCGCCCCAGCCGCAGGAAGGCCAGCCTCCGCGCCGTGTCCCCGGCCTCCTCGTCCCCGTGGGCCCGGGTGCCCTGAAGCCGGGCGAGCAGGCCGAAGTCCGCTGAGCTCCTCCGAATCCCTGGGCCCAGCACGCGGCCCAGGAACGAGCGCGGCTGCCCGTCCCCGGGGCTGCCTGCGCGGCGGCCTGGGCTCCAGCCCAGCCGGAAGGGGCCCAGGCCCACCAGCTTCTCCAGGGTGGCGCGGCGGCCACACGATGTTCCGTTGGGCAGGGGGCCCAGCTCCCCGTGCTCTTCCTCCAGCCCTGGCGCCTCCTCAAACGGATTCTGAGAGGACCTCAGGGGCAGAGTGCCCGCCCGGGGCACCTTAGAGTCTGCCACCCTCAGGCTCTTCGGGATGGGCATTTTCACAGGTGGGCACCTGGGGGGAAGAGACCAGCGACGGTGTTGATGGCAATGGCTCTGCACCGCGGGAGCCGGTCTGAGCTCTTGGGAACCCCCACCCAGTATCTGCACTGTCCTGCAAGGGAGGGGGCCATCGCACCTTCCCTGGGGATTGAACTCCCCCAGGGCCTTTCCATTGAGCTACATCCCCAGCCCTTTACGTTTTTTTTTTTTTTTAATTTTGAGACAGGGTCTTGCCGAATTGTTAAATTCTGGGCTTGAAATTCCGGTCCTCCTGCCTCAGTCTCCCGGAGTGCTGGGATTACCGCGGTGCACCATGGCCATCACACTCGGCTTATTCCCCCCGCCCCCGCAGATGAGGAAATGGAGACTGCGGAGGGCATGGGCGTCTGTCTGAGGCCCCACCGTGCTTCAGGAGCACAGCTAGGATTTGCAGCGAGACCCATGCGATGCCAGAGCCTGGCTTCTTCCCTGGAGCTCCGGCCCCTCGCTCCCGCCCCCCTCCCCCTCTCTGTGTGCCTGGAGTATTCGTGATCACAGTGGGTCATGAAGAAACTAGCTCAGAGATGGCAAGGCTGCGTGGGAAGTGGCACAGCACGCTAGGGGCGACCCCACCTCCTGTCTACCGGCAAGGTACCTGCCTTCGCCCCACCGTCCTGTCCAGCAGGACCCCTCTCTCCTCTTGGCCCCTTCTCGTTCACCCCTGCAGCAGAAGCCCAGTGGGTTCAGGAGGGAGAGGCTGGTGAGGGCCAGTGGGGGTGCAGGGGCGCCGCTGTCGGTGTTTCCTTTTGGTGGGATGGGGATTTCTGGAACTAGGTGGAGCTGGCGGTCGGCGCCCTTGTGAACTTGCTAAGCGCCACTGACCAGCACGCTTTCGAAGGGTTCAAAATGGTGGGTTTTGTTGCGTGTATTTTACCAAAATGAAAACAAACCAAAAAACCTACTAGGTCTATGGCCTGCCCTGGTTGCGCAGGCACCGGGATGTGAGAGCTAAGCCAGACCCAGGCCCTGCCCTCCAGGGCTCACAGCTTCCCAAGTCCTGCACATCCCACCTCTAAGTTTCTCTCTCCAACCTTTGGTCCTTCTCCTTCCTCTCTTCTGCCGGCCCCTACCTCCGACTGAGCCCCTGCATATTCCCCTGCCTGACTCCCCCCAGGACTCCAGCCTCCAGCCTTGACACCTTCACCCCACCTTTGAAGACTGTGATGTAGCTCCTCCTCCCTCCTAAGCCTACCATGGCTCCCTAGTGCCCTTGACACCAAGCTCAAGCCTTTCACTGCAGCCTGTTCAGTCTTAGAGCTATGCACCTCCCCAGTTCTATCCCACTGCCCTCTTCTTCTCTTCCTTCTCCTCTTCCTCCTCCTCCTCCTCCCTCCAGGCTCCTGTAGGTTTCTGCCTCTCCCACCTGCAACTAGGGATTGAACCCAGGGCCTGTGCACTGAGCTACATCTCCAGCCTTTTTTCTTTTTTCTTTTGACACAGGATCTCACTACGTTACTAAGTTGACCAGGCTGGGTTTAAACTTGTGACCCTCCTGCCTCAGCTTCCCAGAGTGCTGAGATCACAGGTATGCACTGCCATACTCGGCTTGCCTATCCTAAGCAGAGACCTGTGCTTTGGACTTTAGGACTCAGTCCCAGTGTGCCCTCCTCCAGGAAGCCCTCCCTGACCCCTTGGGGCTCCTGGAGCCCTGGGCTCTCCCATCCCAGCCCTGCCCAGTCTGGGTCATCTCCATCCTGGGACACATCTGTGTCCCACACTGGCCTGGGAGCCTGGCGGGCAGGGCTGGGGCTGTCTCAGTCACTGCTGTGTCCCTGGCTCCAAGCTCGGGGCAGGCTCTCTGGGATGGGTGCTAAACAGGAAACAAAGGAAGGAAAGGGCCAGATAGTTCATTCCTTGGGTGGGGAGGAGGGACGGTGAGTCCTGGGAGAGGTCACCAGGGAGCAGGCCACACAGGACCAAAAACCTGAGGCAGGGACTTGGGCTTTCCCCTGAGGGCACTGGGGAGCCATGGCAGACAGCATGCGTTTGTTTGAGGGATGGCGAGATAGCGCAGCAGGCACAGCGCCTGCCTGTTTGTTTGTCTCAGTGCTGGGGATCAAACCAGGAGCTTTGTGTATGCTTGGCAATGCTCTACTACTGAGCTACACCCCCAGACCTAGTTCATGATTTTTTTTTTAAAGCAGCCTTCTAAACTGGGTGGCATGGTGGTGTACCCCTGTAATCCCAGATCTTGGGCTGAGGCAGGAGGATCACAAGTTGAAGCTCAGCCTGGGTAATTTAGTGAAACCCTATAGTCAAAATAGAAATAAAAAGGGCTAGGGATGTAGCTCAGTGCAGAGGCCCTGGGTTCAATCCCCTATACCACCAAAAACAAACAGCCAAGTGTGATGGTGCATGCCCATAATCCCAGCATTCAGGAGGCTGAGGCAGGAGGATCGCTGCAAGTTTAAGGGCAACCTGGGCTCCACAGTGAGTTCAAGGCCAACCTGAGCTGCATAATAAGAGCCTGTTTCCAAACAAACCAACAAAAAATAGAGAACAATACATACCCCAGTGCTTGTAATCCTAGCTGTAGCTGATGCAAAAATTTGCACTATGTGCTTTCCTTTTGTTTTGTGTTTTTTGTTTAGATTCCAAATGTACTGCAGCGTCCTGACGCCTCCCCCATCCCACTGCATGCAGCCTTCTAAGGGAACAGGCGTCTGTGCTGTGCTGTCCGTGTGCCCCAGGCGGATCCGCATCCCCTGCCTGCGTCACTGTGTCCAGAGATGACAGACTGACCAGCACGACCTCAGACTCCAGAAATGGTAGCACGCTATTTGCACCCTGCAACTTGACATTTTCTTTTCCTTTTGCTCACATTATGACTTGTGAGATTTAGCTATGTCCATCCAGATGGCTCTGGTTTGTTTGTTTTAAGGGCTGCATAATATTCCCCTATGCGACTGGGATAAAATTGAGTAAATAAAGTGCCTGAGGCTTCCTCGCTGTACCGTTGCTGGACCTGTAGGTTGCTTTGAACTGGAGGAGGCTGCGGGGCAGGTGAGGGCCAGGTGCAGGGCAGTGCTCGGGGCTGAGGCTTGGGGAGGTCTGGGGGGAGGCTGGTGCTGGGAGCAAGAGCACGCCCTAGGGCGCCCCCTTCTCCACCCATTTCACACTGTAGGCAGCAGCTGCTGTTTCTCAGCACTTGTTTCCAGAAGCACCGTCTGACCTCCCTCCAGTCCCGGTGGTCCCCTGTCCCCCAGGGAGGCAGTCACCATGGCAACCCTGGCCTGGCACCCCCATGGCCGTGTGCAGTCGGAACCCCCCCAGCCGGCATCCCGCTGTTCACAAGGTGACACCTCTGGCTTCCACAGACCTCACCCCGAAAAGGGCTCCGACATCCCCCCAAAACTGTCCCCCCATCCCCATCACCGCAGGCTCCAGTTTCCCTTGCACTGAAGCCCACGCGGCCCAAATCAGATCCGCCACGTCCCCGAGCTGCCCAGACACCCCCCGGCACACCCGGTACCCCAGCGATGCCCAGCGCGCCCTAAGCCTGGCAGCAACACTTGCCTCAAACGGGCCCCGACCCCTTTCCCCTTCCTGGCTCCAGCAGCCCCCCTGCAAGCTGCCCCCACATCCTGCCCCTCCGGTGCCCTCTCTGCCTCCCGGTGCCGGCCCCTGACTCACTTCCAGGCGCTCCTCGCCCCCAGCGCCGCGCCCCCCCAGGATGTCTCGGCTACCAGCGCTTCCCCCCCAGGGCCCCTCCTCTTCCTCGCGGCTGCCAGCCTCCCCTGCACGCGCAGGTCGCCCCTGCACAGCCTGGCCCCTCGCAGTCCCCAGCATCTGTACTTGAACAGTCCCCGAGCTCAACTCCAACCGGTACAACCCCAATCCGGTCCTTGCGCCAAACGCCAAACGCGTCGGTCCCCAGCCGGCCCCTGTCAAGCTCGCGGCCGCCTCCGCCCTTGCCCAGCACCGCCTGGGAGCTCAGGCTCTGCGTCTGCCACCCCAGCTCCGGCTCTGAGCTCGGGCTCTCAGGACGGCGCGAACCCTGGGTCCCCGCGGGCCTCAGCCTTCCCATCTGGACTCGGGGCGCAGCACTGTTCTCCGCCACCCGTGGTGCCCAGCTCCCCAGAGACCCCCAGCTCCCTGCCCCCCCAAGGCCCCTTGCACCGGCCTCCCGCTCCCACCTGCTGCTCCCACCTGCCCTCTGCGCGCTGCGCCCGGGCTGCGGCCCGGCTTCCCCTCTGCCCTCTCCAGCCTGTGCCTTCTGGGTCCAGGACCCAGTCCCACCTCAGCCCCTGCTCCGAGGGGCCCGGGTTTGAGTCCTCCCACCTCCCGCAGCACACTCACCGCTGTCCTCTGCGCCTGTCTTCCCCACCGAGGTCCTGCCCCAGCCTACTTGGGCCAGGACTGCAGCGCTTGGGTCTGAGGAGGGAGGGCTTGGAGGAGGACAATTTCCTGTCAGGAAACCCCTCCCTCTCTGGGGCCAGGGGCGGGAAGGACTCATTATCTGTCTGCCCTTTGGGGCAGCCTGCGGTTGGGCTGGGAAGGACAAGGCCCACAGCACTGTCCCCACCCTGCCCCAGACCGGAATCCACCACCCGCCGCTGCCTGCTCTTCACGCCTTGAGAGGTGACAACGCCATCCTGGGCACCCCAGGCAAACACCCTTGCTGGATGGGAGCCCAGAGCGGCCGGTGCCGCCAGGCTGAGACTCCAGAGGGGCCGGGGGTCCCCAGAGGAGCGCACCTTTCTGCAGAGCCCTGTTGCTGGTCCCAGAGGCTGGGCGCCCGGTGGGAGAGGCACGGGGCACGGCAAGGGAAGCCTAAAAGCCCCCCTCACCCTGCCCTCTCTGTCATTCTCGGCTCAACACCAACATCTCCGAGCCCCACTACTCCTCATCAGCTCCTTCCCCACACCTTCCACAGTTTGAAATGACCAGGGGCTGCGTTTGTCCCCTGCAAGTGTCTCTGACTCTCCCACTCCACGCTCAGGCCGGCAGAGCAGTCTTCACTGGTCCTGCGCATCCATCACCTTAGCTCCAGAGGCAGCTCAGCCCATGGCAGGTGCTCAATAAAGCCCCACACACAGCTGGTCACGGTGAGCACACCTCTAATGCCAGCACTTCAGAAGGCTGAGGCAGGAGGATTTCAAATTTGAGCTCAGTCTTGACAATTTGGCCACTTGGGGAGACGGTCTCAGAAAAAAAGAAAAAGAAAAGCTAGAGATGTTGCTTAGTGCAAAGGTCTTGGACTCAATCCCCAGTACTGAAGGAAAAAAAGCCTATAAATGGAGACCCTGGGCTGAGGACTGCTGGGAGCTTTGGGGATGATCTTCTTGCCAAGGTTAAATCAGTGATGGAAGAGGAAGCAGGGTATAGTTGGGGCTGGGGGTGTGGGGATGTGGTGGGTGGCACTGGACGTAGGGGTTAATATTGCCTTGAGAACTGGGTTTTAGGGTCACAAGGCCCTTCGGGAGCCCAGGCACAGCCTGAGTGTGACCGGCCTGGAGACCTGGCTGGCAGCCGTGGCTTTGGGGCTGCAATGAACAACATGCTCCTGAGTGCTGCGGCCAGGGCTGGGAAGTAAGTGGGTCAGGAGTTAAGACCGAAAGGTCTGAAGGCCCCGGGCCGAATCCTCTGGACAATGGGCTGTTGCAGAGGGAGCTTCATGATCTGGCCAGGAGCGGGAAGGCAAGGCAGGCCTCAGCCTCCCCAGGTGGCCTCTGGGGCAGTGCTGGGTCCCCAGTGTGCTGTGACCAATATCCAACACCTCTCCCCTTTGGGTGCAGGTACTATGGCTTGAACCCTGGGTGCACAGAGCTACACCCCCAGCCCTTTTAATTTATATGTTCTGTTTCATTTTCCCCCTTGTTTGTTTTTTGTTTTTTTTTGTTTTTTTTTTTTTTGTCTTTTTGAGACAGGGTCTTGCTTTGCAGTTCAGGCTGGCCTTGAGCTCACTTTGTAGCCCAGGCTGGTCTCAAACTTGCAATGATCCTCCTGCCTCAGCCTCCCGAGTGCTGGGATTATAGACATGCAAAACCATGCTCAACATTATTTATTATTTTTATCTTTAGTACTAGGGTTTGAACCTAGGGCCTTCACACTGAGTGACATTCCAGCCCTTTTTCATTTTTTATTTTGAGAAAGGATCTCGCTAAATTGGTAAGTTACCCAGGCTGGCTTTAAACTCATGATTTTTCTGCCTCAGCTTCCCAAGTAGCTAGGATGACAGGCATGTGCCACCATGCCCAGCTCTCCTTCCTTTATTTTTTAATTTTTAAAATTGAGGGCCAGGGATATAGCTCAGCGGCACAATGCCTGCCTGGCAAGCATGAGGTCCTGAGTTTGAGTTCCATTACCAAAAAAAGTTTTTTTTAAATTGAGATATCATCCTTACACTATAATATTTGCCTTTTAAAATGTGTGATTCGTGCTGGGTGTGGTGGCACATGCCTGTAATCCCAGCACTTGGGAGGCTGAGGCAGGAGGATCATTTCGAGTTTGAGACCAGCCTGGACTCCAAAGTGAGCTCAAGGCCAGCCTGAACTGCATGGCAAGACCCTGTTTCAAAAAAACTAACTAACTAACTAACTAACTAACTAACTAATAAATAAATAAATAAAGTAAAAGGTGTGATTCATAGGTCTTATTCATAGGTTTCACAAAGTTGCAGCAAGCACTACCACTATCTAATTCCAGAACACTTTCATCACCCCAAAAAGAAACCTTGGACCCAGTACAGTTACACCCTGCCCTCTTGCATGCACTACCGCACTCTTTGTCTCCATGAATTTGCCTATTATAGATATGTCATATGTTTTATTTTTTTCTTTTCTTTTCTTAATGCAGGAATTGAACACAGGACCTCGCGCTTGCCAGGCAGGCACTGTGCCGCTGAGCTATATCCCCTGCCCTGTTTCGTTTTGTTGAGACAGAGTCTCCCTATGTAGTTCAGGCTGGCCTCAAACTCCTGAGGATCGTCCTGCCTCAGCCTGTCTAGTGCTGCGATTACAGCACATGCCATCATGCTCGGCTATGTCATATAAATGGAATCATGTAAAAATACCTTTGTGTCGACTTCTCTTAATAAACTTAAGGTTTCCAAGGTCTATCTACTTCGCATTGCTCTCCTCGCAATCCTTAGCCTCCCTCCTCTTGGAAATGGGGTGGAGACGGCGCGGATTGAAGGGGAAGGAGGGGGAGGCCCTCCAGTGTGTCCCTTGCATGTAGGGAGGCGACCTGCCGCCCCCGTGTGGTGTCTTGGAGAACTGCAGCCGTCAGCGGTGGGGCCGGGAAGAGTTTGGGAGCGACTCAGCTCCCCCGAATCTTACTCTCTTGGCTCCAGCCTTCACCCTGCAGAGACTTGGGGGATCACACAGCTTCTAGAACCTCATCCTGAACCCTCTTCTCTGCCTCCAGAGAAACTTCTCTGGCTTCATTTGCTAAATAATAGTAACGGTGAAGTTCTAACCCGCCCCTCAACCGGTGAAGCAATTTATGCATATACTTCCGGATTTCTTGCACACCGAGGTTGCTGCTGTTACTCTCTGCAACAGGAAGCCGCCGTGGTTAAGAGCGCAGTGCCGGAGTTTGGGAGCAGTTGAGTTCAAATCCCAACCCTGCCACCCGTTGCCTCAGTCCCTTTTCAAGTGTAACCTTTCTTCTTCGGGCCTGTTTTCCTCCTCTGCGATGGATTGGTAAGGATGGCTCGCACCTCACGGAAAAGACCCCGCGCTCGGAGCGCGGCACGGGAGCCGCATGCAGAAATCCACGCCAATGATGGCCTCAACCCGCTATAGGCTGGTAAATACTGATCTGTAACCTTTGGCGATTTCCACGATGCAAATATCCTCGCCACGGGCTGGGAGTCCCTGAAAGCGTTTGGGGGAAGAGATACAGAACAGCGCATCTTTCTTCGCAATTTCACAAGGATACAAAAGATGCGAAGAACCTGAAGATCACAGATAATAGGAAAATGAAGCGAAATGCTCCGGATGCAATGAATGTATAGTACTTTCGCTTTTAACATAATTTATTTAATTGCATGTTTGCACAGTTTAATTTGTAACGATGGCCGTGGTTAATAACTAGTTCCCAAATCCCTGAGATTGTAGCAGTCAGCTTGCCCAGCTAGCCCGGCACCCTGCTGTTCCCAACACCTGGTTTTCAGGAAGGGGCAGGGAGCCTCGGCTGGAGGACCAGCGAACCCTGAACAGACGGGGCAGGGCAGGGCCCCTATTGGGGCGGCGGCGTGATCGGGGAAGGGTCCAACGCGCCACTCCTTCCTCTGCGCGCTCTGGGCTCGAACACACTCCGGTCCCCGGCGCCGTGCGCGTGGCCTGGGCTCGGCCCCTGCCTCTGATCTCCGCGTCTCTGGGTCTCTTTGTCTGTCTGTGCGCCTGTCTGGACCGCGGATCTCTGCCCCGGTCTTTGTCCCTGTTAGTGTCGCTTCTCTCTCACTCCTTCTCCCCACGGCCCCCGCCTTCTGTCCTTCTCTTTTTGTCTCTCTGCCCTTCGCCTCTCCGTCCATCTCTTTGTGTCTCTGCCTGCCCCGGCGTCCGTCCCTGCCTCTTTGTGTCTCTGTCTCTCCGTCTCTGTATCTCTTGCTATCTTTCTGCGCGTCTCCGGCTGGCGCTGGGCCTCGGCGTTTGTCCGTTTCTCTCCCCCTCCTCCCCGCCCGGCTCCGCCGTCCTGTGGGAACACGCTCTCCACGGGCGCGCCAGGACCTGCCTTCGCCTCCAGAGCCCCCGGCCGGCCCGGGCCTGCGCCTTTAAGGGCCGGCGGCGAGGGGCGTGGTCAGGGTGGCCCCGCCCCCTGACGTCCCTTCCTCCTGCCGCGGCGCCACCTCCCTCCGCCGCCGCC